GGCAGCTGGAAGAGCATCCACCGAGTAAAATGTATGAATAGTTGGTGATTCGTTCCATTGTGGTGACCCCTGATAAATAAGAAACTAAGCTGGAAAAAAAATTAATAAATGAAATAGAGCATAATGAAATTATAGTCTATTCCGCTGTGGTGACCCTTGTTAAATAAGGGACTAAGCCGAAGGAAAATGTATAAATGAATGAAAGTTATAATTTTAGGGAACAGAATACTAATATTTTAACTTCATGTTTTAAATTGATTGTGATGTGATTTTCTAAATATATTTTCCTAGTGGTCTTCTAATTTTACCCCATTAATATATCTCACATGGCGTGGCAGTGGCGCAGTAGGTAGTGCTGTTGCCTCATTGTAAGAAGGTCGCTGGGTCGCTGGTTCGAACCTCGGCTCAGTTGGTGTCTGTGTGGAGTTTGCATGTTCTCCCTGCCTTTGCGTGGATTTCCTCCGGGTGCCCCCACAGTCCAAAGACATGCGGTACAGGTGAATTGGGTAGACTAAATTGTCCTGTGTGTGCGTGTGCGTGTGTGTGTGTTACACCCAGAAATGGGTTTGCGGCTGGAAGGGCATCTGCTGCGTAAAAAAAAAAAAAAAAAAAAAAAAACTTGCTGGATAAGTTGCCGGTTCATTCCGCTTTGGCGACCCCGGATTAATAAAGGGACTAAGCTGACAAGAAAATGAATGAATATGTCTCACATATATTTACATCTTACATATATTAGGGATGTAATTAAAATTAAATATTCAAACAATAATAAGTAAATTAGAAAAACAAGATGGCATGAGCTCCTTTAGTAATCTGAAGGCACAATATAATCTTCCAGAGACGTCTTTTTCCTTTTATTTACGTCTGAGATCTAAGACCGTGAGGAATAAATATTTCCACCATTAGAATTCACAGTACTTTGACATTACAAGTAAATACGAAAGGTCTAGTATCTGCTTTTTATCTATTATTTATTCATACAAACATCTACCAATTATAAACATTTGGCATAAAGATATGTGACACAAACTCTTCTACAAATACTGATGATCTATGTTGAGACTATGGACTAACTTTAAACTTACCTCAAATAATTCTATCATCAGCTAATTCATTACAAAATGATTCATATAGAATTGACCTCACTCCGAGCAAATGTCACTTAATGAAACTAACATCATCTCCCAATTGTAATTTCTGCTTAGGGGATGTCATAGGTACATACAAACATGTTTTGGGATTGCCTTGAAGTAATTCACTTTTGGCATAATGTGTTACTGACCCTAAAGGACATACTGGAATCAGACATGTTGCCCTAAGCTTTTGCTTTTAAATGATGGTTCATCCTTTGACTTTTATTTCAGAAAAAAAGGATAATTTTCTGCTTTAACAGCAGCTAAAAAAATGTTAGCTTTACGTTGGCAGTCTCCACACTCCCGGGACCGGAAACATTGAATGTTCTTGGACATTACAAGTATGAAACTGTCTGTGGCAAGGATGCATGGCGCTTCTACAAAAACTATTACTTCATGAATATGTCCAATAACTAAAATATAAGATATGCTATAGTGATTTTTTTCTTTGCATTTTATTTAACCTATATGTGTAAAAGTCCAATGTATATAAAAGTGTTCTTAAGAATTAAAATGCAGGGGTTAATTTATTTATTTACGTATTTCTTAATTTAGGCATTCTACCTCTTTTTTATTTAATTTTATTTATTATTTGTATTTTATTTTATTTACTTTCTCTTTTTGTTTTTTGCTCTGATTTTCTTTTTTTGTTAATTATTATTTTCGCCAGCGGTGGGTGGGGTGGGTGGGGTGGGCAAAAAATAGAAAATGCTGTTGGTTGGTATTTTTGTCTGTAACTATGTATGCAAGATTATTTTCAGCTGTTCAATAAAAATTTCATCACAAAAAAGTAAATTAGAAAAACAAGTATAGTTTAAAAGGTGTAAAAAAATTAAACTGATTTTAAACAATTAATATTTTTTTCAAACAGTTACTAAAAAACACGATTTAAATTCGTCTGAAAAATATATAAATCTGATTAAACACTGAGAAATATGCAAATTAGTTTAAAATTAATACTATAAAATTTCCTTAAATGTGTCAATAAATACTGATAATAAACCCAACACTATGCTTTCATAAAAAGGAGGGAATAATTATAACTTTTAAAAGACTTTTTGGATGGTTGCTTGCACACGGATCATTATTGAAGGTCCATCCATGGCATCTAAAAACAACTGAAAACAACTGCTCCGCAAAATCATGCCAAACAGTACTAATTTGCTGTTATATTGCAAGAATGATGCTTGCCGTAAATGAAATATTTTCAGGACATCTGGTTACTTTTGAATGTGGATCAATGGGTAAACATGTTTTGGCCTGCATACTGATGTAATTATGGCATCTACCAGCAGGGGCTGAAGCACACCAGCCAAACCAATGTGCGATGTGCCACCAGCGTGCAATGTGCCAGCAGAAAACCCATTGAGTTTTTAATGAAAGCAGAAAAGAGAGATGTCTACTCTCTACTCTTTGACTGCTACAATAAGGCAGTATGCAGAGAAAATTGTTGCCTTCCGTAATAAGACACTACAGCCAGAAAGACTGTTTATTATGCATTTTAGAGATTTTCCAACATTTGGCTTTTCATAAAGTGTTATTTCTTGTCTAATGTAAGGAAAACATCCACAATATACAATTAAGTTATGCTGTTTATTACTATATTATTATTTTGTCACTTTTTGTCACACTCAATTTGTTTTGAGTTTTTTTAAGTGTTCAGGTTAGGACTGCACAATATTGGAAAAATATTACATTGCGATATTTTGTTTTGCTGCGATATACATTCGCCTACAAATAATATCCTTATTTTAATATTTAATAAATATCATCCAACTATGTGACTATTGCAGATATACACATTGTAATAACGATGCTCATATGATATAATGTGCAGCCCTAGTACAGGTACCTTTGTGTTGGTAGATTTATTTATATATTTATATTCTAAAGGATTTGCTGATAGATTTGTTTCTATCTATTTGGTTCTAGAAAATTAGCATAATTAAGTATAGAAAATATATATTAAAAAATTAATCTTTCTCGCTCTCTCTGGTGTATTTTCTGAATTACTGAGCAATAAAAAAAGAATAACTTTAAAAGATTTTCAGATTTTTATGCTATAGAAATATAGTTGAAATCAAAATTATTAAACGTTTGAATTTTTTTTTCTTTTTAAAATTTAAAAAAAGAAATTTTTCACAGTATGTCATGTTTTTTTTATACTGGAGAAAGTCTTATTTGTTTTACTTTGGCTTGAATAAAAGAAGTTTTGAATTTTTTAAAAACCATTTTAAGGTCAATATTATTAGCCCCATTAAGCAATTTTTTTCGATAGTCTACTGAACAAACTATAGTTATACAATAACTTGCCTAATTACCCTGCCTGGTTAACCTAATTAACCCAGTTTAGCCTTTAAAAGTCACTTGAAAAGTGTCTTGACAAATAGCTAGTGAAATATAATTTACTGTCATCATGGCAAAGATAAAATAAATCAGTTATTGAGATGAGTTATTAAAACTGTTATGTTTAGAAATATGCCGAAAAAAATCTTCTCTCCAGAAATTGGGAAAGAATTAACTGACTTCAACTGTATATTAGTGTATTGGAATAATGAGACATTTGCAAATTTAAACAAAAAAATTTTAGAAAACCTGTTGCAAAAGCAATGTTTCCAATTCCTAAAGTAATCATTCAACCATGGTGATAACCTTTTTCTTATCTTACTCTATACTTCATCTGGAAAAATTATATTAAATTTTTTTCAATGCATGAACATTTTTTTCATGTTTATTGTTTATTATTATTATTATTATTATTATTGCACAAACCTTCAGAAACAAACATACAACAACACAATATAAAAAGTGAACATAAAAAACTAATATAATAATAGTAAAAAATAAAATCTATCCACAAAGCATAATGTACAGCAGCATTTCTACATCCAATGATTTTAAGAATTAACAGGGGAATCAAAAAAACTATTTAAGTAATTGATACATATCTCAGATCAAATCAAAATGGATAAAAAATAGTTAATGTGGGAGATTGTAGCAAATTTCTGTTTGTGTATGTGAAACAACAATATATTCAAGACTTTCGTTGGATTTGTTTTCATAATAAGAATAATATATTTTAATGTAAAATAAAAAGTTTTGTCATTTTATAAGTATATTTTGCTAGATCCTTCCAGAAACTGTTTACAACATTGCATTCCAAAAATAAATGACAAAGGCTCTCTTTATGTGCTTTACAGATGTCCTCTATTTCAATGTACTTTGATGATAACGATTTTACTAGGTACGCCTAAATTGTATGTAGTATTTTAAAATGAGTTTCTTTAATTTTATAGTTAATAGATTATTTGAAGGGAGTTAGTTAGCCAGCCTCTTTTGCGAGCAATATTAACTATAATAGAGTTCCAGAAAAAATTGTCTTTAGGAGTAGGCCTACCTTCATTTTGTATCTGAAATATATTATGAATGTTTGTCATTATATATTTTTTATCAGTTAACGCCTTCTATATGCAATTTTAGGTTTACAATAGACAGATAATTATAGCAAATATGATTTTTAACAAGTAGAAAAATTTTAACAGGGATAAATTTAATAACTAAATTAATTTCTCTAGACAGTATTGGGAAATTGTTGATAGACATGAACTGTTCTTATGATAGAATGTTCTGAAAAGTTTTAAAAGATGATTAATGTCTCTATTAAACCAATTAACAAAGGATAAAGGATTATTTGAAGAGGTTATGTTTCCATTATTTCAAGGGCTCCTTGTTGCACTTTATAACATCTCCATTGAAGTACACATACGTGACAGTTTCCGTAAACTTAAATGTGATTGGCCGTTTTGAAGCACGTGACGCCTTTTCTTAAACCTCATTGGCTGATTCGTATGACCAAGGATATTTGCCAGATGGACTGGCAGATGCGTTAGAACTTGTAGTGCTATCTCGCGTCCTAGAAATATATAAACAAAACACACTTAAAATGCGGTAAAATATAGCTGTAAATGCCTGCAAGGTTAACAACTGTAAAAATAAGTCGTTTATTTTAAGTTACCAAGGTGTTGTCGGGTTCCTCCAAGGCGGAAGGATATTTGCGCCGTTTTAACGTGCGGTAAGGAGCGAAGTTTGAACATTTTAGCACAATACAAGCAAACGTTTATTTTTCACTTGTTAAATGAAACATAGCGCAGAGTTATAGTTATGCTATCCATTATACTGTTTTGTAAACCCGTTAGTTATTATTCGCTACTCTGCTTTGTAAACTAATAAACTAAGATTTCTTACTTGCATGTGGTACACATCGCTGGCCTGATGTTAGCAGATGTACATAACGTGTTACAGTAAAACTCTACTTTGCAGGATTGTAATATCTTGTGGTTTTTCTGCAGTGTATCATGCTCAATCTATTTGTTTTATTCAGATTTCATATGCACTGGAGTCGAGCATGGATGTTACTGAAGCCATGGACAGCAGACCAGCACTTGCAGACTTGTCTCCCTCTCAGCAGAACACTGAAGCTGCGGATGTGGATTTCTCCAAACTCACCTCTTTACAGTTTGGGATATCAACAGACAGTTTCTTGCCGTCCTCTAAAAGTAAAGGTTAGTAACATTAAAGTAGATATGATGTCTTGCCTCATGAACTATTTCAAAAAAGGCTATATTCTAAACAAATGGCAAACAGAATGGGATCAGTGCTCGGAAAAAAAACCTTGAAATTCAGCCAGAAATAGGAAGAAAATCCTATTAATTTTTTTAAACTCAAGACATGATGAGTTTGTGTACAGAAGATGGCGCGTTGGACACAAGACTCGCACATGAACATTTACTCTAAGGAGCAAAAAACCCAACATGTCTATACTGCAACTGAAGCGAAACTGTTAAACATATTCTTGTGGAAAGCCCTATTTCTTATGTAATCAGACAATAATTTTTAACTGGAGAAACTATAAATTAAATATTTTTAAAATGTAAATCCTTCTAAAATTGTACAGATTTTATCAAAAGGAAACCCTACAAAACAGTTTTAGATTTGTATTATATATATTATCATTATTATTATATTTATGTATTTTACCTTGTTTATTATTTATTGCTGTAGATGACTTTTATTTGTTAGAAAAGTGGTATTTATAAAATGTGCTAAAGTTGATCGTTTTTTTTGTTTTGTTTTGTTTTTTTGCTATGACATAGCCATATAAGCTGAAATGGCAATAAAATTACAATTCTCTTTCTCTGAGCTAAATTAAAATGGCATATAGAGTTGGGCTGCATTATATTGGAAACATATAACATTGCAATATTTTGTTATTCTGTGATATGAATACAAATCCACCTGATTTGGGATGATTCTGCAATGGGAGTGCATCTGCATAATATCAAATAAACAGTCTATGAATACATAAAGAAAAAATATACAATTGAAATGAACAATGTTTTTTGTTTTTGAAGTCTAACAGTATTCAAGTACAGTAATCAAATAATAAAGTTAATTAATTCGATAAATTTAATCATTAAAGTTACAATTTCTTATGTCTGGGTGCTTTTAAAATCATTATACAGTCACAGGCCGCAAAAACACATGCAACTGAAGAATTAAATCCCAAACTCAACATTACACATCCTGCGATGTATGTAACTATTGCTATTGATCACATTCACGATTCTGAAATGATAAATTGTGCAGCCCTAATATAGAGTTTTTACAGTGTAAATATTAAGGTTTTCATTTAGTCGTGGCATTTTATTATTGCTGTATAATTGCATTTTCTTTGCACTTTGTTATTCTGCATAATTTTAACGGTTTGCTTTTTTTGTCAGTGAAGCACATTAAATTAATTTAACAAAGCCTTGTTCATCTACTGTTTTATCTCCTCAGATAAGTCCAGAGTGGCTCAGCTGAAGGCTAGGAGGAGATCTACGATTGGGCTCCGGGGATCTCCAGAAACGAACTCGCTCATCTGCTTCAGAGCCAGACAAGCTGCAAAAACACCTCCCCGAACACCACAGGTAAATCCATAGGGTAGCACAGCTGCTTTTGCTTCAGGATCAGTGTTTTACATTATACATCAAATAGTGACTAAACACAGACATGTTAAATAAATGTAAATAAAAACACATTTAATAAAAATTGTCTTCTCGTGAATTTTGTAATCAATAAGAAGAGTAAGTCATATTACCAACTCTCGGATGTTTGTGAGAAAGTAAAACAGATTTGATTGGATGCATAGGCTTTAACATCATATAACGGATTAGGGTTGCACAATATATCGTTTCATCATCGATAACACAAGGTGGGCGTCCAAAATAGTCACATCACATGATCTGCAATGTAGTTGGGATTATAATTGACCAGACATAGTCAACAACATTGGAGTCATTTCAACTTTTAACCTTAGAATGAAAGTTTATTATTTGCATATGTTTTATTAAGGCATGAAACTGTGTAAGCATTTTAGGCTATTTTAAGCCATTTGGGCACTGCAAATTAAACATTTATAGATTGTAACTGTAGATTTATACAATTATTTTTTTGAAAGTGATACAATTTTGTTGTTGTTATTATTAATATTATTCTTATTATTATTATTATACAGTGGATATTTAATTTGTGTTGCTAAATATAGTTTGACTCTCCAGAAAATCATAAATTTTACATCTGTTGAATTTAGCATTGCTTGTAATTTTTTTTAATTATATTTATATTTTTAGCATTTAGCATTGCTTGTAATTTTTTTTAATTATATTTACATTTTTATTATATTTAATAATATTTTGCAGATATGTTCCCAGAATCATTTAAATTGGTCTAAGTTATGAATTAATTTTAAGATTTTCAAGTCATCTGGTAAATTGCATTTATATCGCATTATTAATCGCTGTAAATGGAAAATATTGCAATGTCCGTTTTTTCCAAAATCGTCCAGCACAAAATGCCTCAATTATATAATCATATACATATTTAGTTCATCTCTGAAAACAAAAAAAAGTTGATCACAAAAAAAAACCTTAAACTCAATTATCTACATTTAAAATTTTGTATTGTAGGCCTCTTAAAATGAGTTTATAGCTTTTGCTTTCTTGGTATGCTTTGCAGCATCAGCTCTTTTCTCTTGTCGTACAGTCTCTAAACACCTTGTAAGAGTCAGACAGAAATAACAGCTGTAATCATTTCAGTTCCTGGGGAGTTTCTTAGCATTTGTTTATGCAGTGGTACAAACAGCACTGTTAATGTTGGTTTTATACTGTTAATTGCCATGTCCTTGTCATTTGGAAGTGCACGCAAAGTATATTTGTTTATTCAGGATAGAAAATGTCGTAAATTCGACTTCTCATCATTTAGAAATTATCCAACAGGAGGTTTTGAATATCAGAAAATAGACTTTATTCTCCATAATAAAGCCGAGAAAGAGCAGAGCAGACCCCAGAGCATTCTGAAGTCTCTCCTGGACGATTCCTATCTCTGGTTCTCTCTTTCCAAAGTCTCTCCTGCTCCTTCTGAAGTCTGTGTTTTTTACAATCTTTTTACAGGTTATTTGACACACCCCTAGGTGTCTCATTTTAACTTTTAACCATTTTAGGATAGGTTTTTACTCTAGGTGGCCCTGTTATTCTTGGCTCTCAATCTCAGCCCACTAGCTCATGTCAACAGAGATGTTACAGGTCTGTGTCAGCAACTGTTTTGACACCAGAGCATAGATGCAAAATAACAAAGTGTTTACATACATTGTCATGATAGGATAATAACTTGATAATATGTTACTCATTCTAACTTCTGACACATATAGCTTCATACAAGTATTTAACATATATAATTAGTGCTTTACATATTCAGTTATTCTACACAATCATTCTTCAGCATCATAGCCTTCTCCTACTGTTGCTCCTGTGCAAGCATACTCATCTTACACAGACATATAACTGTATTTTTAACACAGGCTGGCATGTTTGCTGCAAACACTACATACATTTTGAGAAGAGAAAATTAACTGCTTTACACTTAAATACTTCATACCGAGAGAATAAAATCCTCTTCAAAAACAACATATTTTAGCAACAACACAATGGTATAATAGCACAAACCAAACATACAGTGCCTGTGTCCAAAATTGCCCACTAGTTGACTAGGTACTACGTTTGAATTTTAATCTATTAGAAAAGTGCATTCTATATTTTATGAATACGAGGAGCATGAATGGAATTTAAAGTTTACAACCACAAGTTGTCATGATCAACTGACCTAACTGCATCAGTTGCATACTGCTTTTAACATACTATAAAGTAGGCAAATATGTGATTTTGGACTCAGCCAATTTTTTTGTGGGTGGGTCACAATAGACATTGGTTGCATACAGCCAACAAATGCAAATTTGCCATTAATCTTATGTTTAAGTATTTGGACTGGGGTGGATAGTGACTTATTTTATTGTGCATCTCTGACACACCTGTTCACAAACAGCATTACAAACTCAATAAAAGGTGACATCTGAAAAAGTACTTTATTTAAACAAATTTACTTTGACTCTTCAGAATGCATGATTCTATAATTAATTGCATTTCATCACTCTTTTGACCCACCACATATTTTAAGTGTGTACCGCATTGCTAATTCTCATTAATATCATGATGAAAGTTGTTGTTTGTGCTTTTCTGTCTTTATACACTGTAACCATGTGTTCTGTCCTCATGAAGCTTTTACAGGGGAGTCCTTTTCTTTCACGCTGTGACTCTCTGAAGAAAAAGATGGCTGCTTTCCAGTGTCTGATGGAGGACGATGAGGAGAAGGATGAATGGAAGAAAAATGAGGAGAATGAGAGTGCAAAAAGCACTTTGGCTAAGGATTCCCAGAACGGTCAGTCTCTCCTCAAGCTGCTGATTGTTGGCAACATAAAAACCGAATTCTTTAGGATGCATGCTTCTAGGACCAGATGGAATTATGAAGTAAATTAAAAGAACATTGCACTGTCATTGCTTGCCATTTCCAGCTAATAGAACCTATTCAGAATAGAAAGGCGCCGTAATAAATTTAATGCAATTTGATTTCTTCCATTGATCCCTGTTAGAGCGCAGCAGGATGATTTGCAGAATAAATCAAATTATGCTTATGAGCTTTTGAATAAATATGTTTACATTTCAAAAGGCTTTCAGTGTTAATAAAAAGATTGGAAAAGCTCATCCAGTCATCCAATCTTCCAGTCAAAATAATCTGTGATCCTTTCAGTTTTTGACGTTTTGACTATTTAAGTTTTTAAAAATGTAAACAAGACATTTAAAGCAAAGCATCAGGCTGTTTCATGCAAACTGCTTTATGCAATCGACTCAAGTGGACTACATGCGTGACAGGTGGGGAAGAGATACATTTACTGTAATTAACCGTTTGTAAAAAAATAACATTTTGTCATTTTGATTCTCTCCGCCGCTTCACAACTTTACGAGTTGTGCGTGCGTGAGTCTGTGTTGCAAGCTATGTATGTGTGCTTAGCGTGAGTCCTCGCTGAGTGTGTGCGCACAACCGAGAACTGTGATGGCTTTTATACTTGACGCGCTCTCCGTTGCACCATTATGCGAAAACATGAGCATTTCTCATGTGAGATTGCCAACTGTGCAGACGAATACCAAATATCGCAAATTAGAAAATGTTGGTCAGTTAAATTATGCTATTGTAAGTAATATTTATTCAGCAATGATTCTCCAGTACTGATAGCAGAACCCTTATTGTCGGAGCTCATCACTAATTCTGTGTTTTATAATGTATCACCGATACTGATAAAGTACCAAGTTTCGGTACCCATCCCTACACACAAATCTCGTTACAATGTTTGTGGGCTCCTCTAACACGCTGTGCTGTTTTTCTAATCTACTTGCAGCAAATGTGACAGGGTGCCCACTAAATCAGTAAATATGTTGCTGTATAAGGATTTTGAGTTACTGTACAAAATAAACCTGTCTACAAACTGGCACTTATGAAGCATCTTCGTTTATAGTTGTGTATACTATAGAGCTAAGGTATACCTGCAGAACATGAATTACGTAGTTCAAAAAAATAGTTTAAAATGAAAATACAAAGTGTACAACTTAATGCTTTTTGATGTGCATTTGGATCACAGAGAGTTGGAACAGATCTTTTAATCCCAGTTTCTTTGCCAATCCTGTCTTGAGGACATGGTTACATGTGCCTGTCGATCAGTATCGGTGGGTGGGAAAAACCACAATGCTACATTGTGTATCGATGGGCCTCAAAATTGCTGGAATTTGGATCATATTTTAATATCACATTTTTAAAAGGAGACTTGTTGTGTTCAAGTATAATGTGTTCACAGTCATATTGGAGTAATATAAACACGTTTCTCTCCAAAAAGCTTCCTAATGTTGATTTTTGAATGAAAGGTGGTTTTTAAATCACCAATGAGCTTGTTATTTGTGACTGGCACTAAACTTTCTCAGGTTCATTTTATGTGAAAGCACAATGAGTCTTTGCTTTTTCCACTCGGTGTATACATCCACTTCCAGACAGCGTTTGAAGTCCTTTCTAAACATCACCTCTAATTATTGCAATTCATAATGTCAGTGTGGAAGGCTGGATGCTGGGCAATTTTATATATGAACTGGCATATTTCAAAGTTCATGAGCAGCTGTTTTTCTTTCGCTGTCTGTGTTAGAAGCAGGATTTAGTCTTTCATGCTGTGGGATCAATAACCTGACTCAAATAATCAGTTCTGCTGAATTTCTCTCTTTTGCATTTTTATTCAGCTACCTTGAGAGCAGTTGCCAGTTTAAAATGAAAATAGTAATTATTTTGCAAGTTGGGACGTGTGCCATGACTAATTTAATTACCATTTAAAGGGTTAGTGTGAGCCATAATTTTATATAATATAATATATTATTAATACTTAAATTAATGTATAGTTTACACATGTTGATCTATTTAGTTGTGTACATTTGTTGATTTCACGCCCACTCTTTTGTTTGTAATGGTTTGCTCCGCTTTTTTGTACTGTTTTAGGTTATATTACAAGATAGGAAAGTGAAAGAAAGATGTCAACACAGTTTTTTTTGACCAGACTTTATTGTTATGCTGCTTGAGAATTCAGTAAACATCATGAATTGAAAAGAAACCAGAGTCAATTTATTGCCAGATAGTTCACCTAAAAATCAAAATGTACTCGCTGTTTATTCATAGTCAAGTGACTCCAAACCTTTGAGTTTTTTCTTCTATTGAACACAAAATAAGATATTTTGAAGAAACCTGTAACCTTTTACTTCCATAATAGGAAAATTGCTACTGTGCTAGTCAATAGTTACAGGTTTCCAACATTTTTTAAAAATATCTTCCTTTGTGTTTAACAGAAGAAATAACCTCATAAAGGTTTGAACCAAATAAATGATGAAAGATTAAAATGTTTTGGTGTGAACTGTCCATTTTAAATAGAAATTTTGTAATTGATTAGTTTAGGCCTGTCACAATAATCAATATATTGACTTATTGTTCAATACTTAGGGATGACCTCATATAAAATAATGACATCAATATAAAAAAAAAACACTGAAAATAGTTAAAGTTTTTAAATGTGCAAGTAATTTATTCTTGCTTTTTTTATAAGAAACAAAGTGACTGTTAGATTAACACAATGTGTGTTTTAAGTTCAGTTGTTCAACGTTGATGTTAAATGAATAATCATATATAGTAAATAGTGTGTGTTTCCTTTCATTCGAAAATCTCTCATGTAATACGTGCACATATTATACAAAACCTCTCAGTAAATGATGAGGGCAAAAAGGATTCATTAAATTGTTCATTAATAGTAATTGAGTTAATGTTCATTTAATCGAGATTTAGATTTTAGGCCAAATCGGCCAGCCATACTCATTATACCATTATATGCTGAGATTAGGCAACCGTGTACTTGTCCATGTTACAAATGCATAACATAAGGCAACATTTGATAAGAACCTGGACATGAACTGGCATTCACTTAAAGGAATTATATTCGTTAGTGTATTGTTATAACTCATTGTCAAGTATTTGTTCAAAAGGTTACTTCTTGAATTCAGTATAAAATTTCTGCTACTCTCCCTCTTACCTGCTAATGTAATAAGCTTACAGGCATTTACAGCTACACGATATTGGAAAAATCTAGCATTGCGTTATTTTTTGAATTTATTTCTGCAATATATATTGTGACATGCTTTAGGGCTGCTCGATTATTGGTAAAATCATAATCACAATTATTTTGGTCATAATTGTAATCACGATTGTTCAAAACAAACAGTGGAAGACACAATTTTTCACCTTCTTGTACATTTTTTTAATATAAGTATTTCCCAAATGATGTTTAACAGAGCAAGGAATTTTTCACAGCACTTCCTATAATATTTTATCTTGAGAAAGTCTTATTTGTTTTATTTTGGCTAAAACAAAAGCAGGTTTAAATATTTATTATTATTTAAATATTTTTATGTTCAATATTATTAGCCCCCTTAAGCAATATTTGTTTTTGATTGCCTGCAGAACAAACCACTGTTATACAATGACTTGCCTAATTACCCTAATTAAGCCTTCAAATATCACATTAAGCTAAATGCTTGTATCTTGAAAAATAACTAGTCAAATATTATGTACTGTCATCAAAGCAAAGATAAATAAAACTATTATTAGAGATGAGTTATTAAGACTATAATGTTTAGAAAAATAAACTTTAATTTATCGCTACAAAAGTCCTTCAGTCAAGAGCAGTGATTGATTTTTCTCCTTTTGTAGTTTGATTAATAGTAAAAACAGGCTGCAGCGTATTGTGTGCTGTCACTTTAAGAGCAGTACGGTTCTGATTATGGTTTCACTTTCACATGTCTTTTGATTCTCAACTCGTTTGTTTATTACATAAATGAGGGTTAATATGAATAATCACTAAACGGCACGGTTTGACACAAATTTGCACGTATTTGAGCTTTAAAGTGCTCACATTAAGATGACTTTAGATGTGTGTGCTCTGCTCGTCTGTGAGGCTGAGCGTATGCACACAACACCATGGGATCTCTTTCGCGCTTTTAAAAACATGAATGATTTGAATGTACATCAATGAAGGAGATCCTGTCCTGCAAAGCTTACATTACAGTACATGCTTTTAGTCATTTTCACGTGAAACTGAGCTTTGCAGAGAAACAAATGTGCACAACTGGAAAAGGGCGGTATATGATGCAATAATCGTTTTTATCTTGATTAATGTTTTTTTTTTTTTTTATCTTTAGAAGCCAAAATCAAAATTGAAACTGAATATCGATTTATTGCACAGCCCTAATATGCATACAATTTCACCAGATAACTTGAATATCTCTATTTGGAAAGAATTTCTATCTCCATAAAATCATATAAACAATCTCTAATCTTTTTGGGGTGCCCTGACACATTTTTGTTGTGTTCTGTGCTATTTGCAGTGCGTTTCTGTATTTGCATGTGTTTAGTCAATGATTGATTAATTAATGTTAACTATTTTTATCTCCATAATGTCTAATAAACACTCCATAAACTTTTTGAGGTCCCCTGACACACATTAGTTGTAGTCTATGCTGTTTGCAGTGCATTTTCTATATTTGTGAGTATTTTCATGCATAGCAATCAATAAATACAATCAAGAAAAAGATACAATTGAAAAAAATGTTTTATTGTTTTCAAAGTCTAACCGTATTCAAGTGTGATAAAAGTAAAATTAATGTGAGTAAATTCGTTGTTGTTAAAGTTACAACTAACTCAATGTCTTATGCCTAAATGCTTTTACAGTCATTATACAAACACAGGCATCAGAAATACATGAAATGATGAATTAAATTATTAGCCCTACATGCAATGGTTGATTTTTATATCCAGTTTAACAAAGCCTGCACAACTCTTTTTAAAAATAAATATACTACCTCATCTTGTCGTTTTTCAAATTTCTCTGAAACCACTTTGACTGGTGGAACAGACACTAAGGTAAAATATTGTGTTTTGCTCCATTATTCACACTTTTAAAAAATATTAAATACAAAATTAACAATTTAATATGTAACATTCATGTGTTAATAATTAGATTGTATCGAAAATATCTTTAAAAAAAGCAATTAACAAACTAGTATTTTTAGTGTTGACTAGCAGCAGTGATATTATTTAGTCAAGTGCTCTGCCACATCGCCAGCCCTACCAGCTTGACACATTTTCAAAGTATCATCTTGTGTAATTATGTAGTTAAGGTCGTGTCTTTCTGCTACTGCTGTTCTGCAGGGAAGGAAAACACACCGACAACACCTAGCCCACCCATTTCAATGACGCCTCCTGCCTCTAAGAAACGCTGCTGGGCCCCACCAGGGGAGTGTGAGGACAAGATTACCAAGACGCCACTCCCCAACCCCACCGCTACAACACAGCAGGACCAAGGGGTAATCCTCAGCATTTATTCTTCCATATTTGATATTCGATCCAGTTTATGATCTGTTAAATGGCCATTAGCAGACAATCAGGCACAGGTAAAAGTGCTTAGAAGGCAACTAATGGATGCTATGTTAACTCAAGCAGACTTTGCGGTCCACATTATTAGTCTGGTGGTGTATTTGCTGTCAGCACTGTGTTGTTTTGTTTTTCTGTGCATGAAGGTTAAATGTACCGGGTCTCAAAGCCAGAGGCCTCTATCAGATGTGGATTCGGATGCAAAGAATGAGCTGCTTTCTTTACCCATGCTGTCAAAACCAGATATAAAGCCAGCAGGTAAGACAAATGTTTAAGTGCTTGAAAATATTTTAAAATGCTGTGTTTTTAGCATTATATCTTTAGTGTCCTTCAGGAATCATTGTAAGAGGCTGATTTGTCACTCAAGAAGTGTTTCTTGTTTTCATAGCTGAAAACAAGATGTGCTGCTTGCTTTTTATGATTCCAGAGTAGCTCAAAGATGAACCGTTCATAAAACAGTGTTTGTTTGACAGTGTTTGTGTGTGTGTGTGTGTGTGTGTTTGTGTGTGTGTGTGTGTGTGTGTTTGTTTGTTTGTTTGTTTGTTTGTTTGTGTGTGTTTGTGTGTTTGTGTGTGTGTGTGTGTGTGTGTGTGTGTGTGTGTGTGTGTGTGTTCAAATTCCGCTCTGATAATTGATAATTTCCTCTCATGTTAAAGGAATTGTTCACCCAACCATGAAATTTTACTTTGTATTACTCACCCTGAAGTGGTTATAAACCTTTGAGTTTCTTTATTCTATTGAACACAAAAGATATTTTGAAGAAAGCTGAAAAGCTGTAACCATTGACAATTGTTGTAGCTTTTTAGCTTTCTTCAAAACATCTCCTTTTATGTTCAACAGAAGAAAGAAACTTCAACTGGTTTGAAGCAAGTGAAGTAAACGATGACTGATCTTTTTCCCTTTTTTGGTTAAGTATCCCTTTACCCACGAAAAACCTTGTCAAAATTTAGCTTTTCATTACAATGGGACTTTCATAGAGAGCTGGAATAAATAATAGACTATTAAAATTTGAAAAAGACATTGCACCTTCACAATCATGAGGGTGAGAGGTCTCTCCACACCACCACCAGTGAGCAGCATCCACTTAGATGATGTGACTGCAGCCACAGGACAATGATGCAGTGCGCTCACCACACACCAGCTATTGGGGGAGTGGAGAGACAATGATAGAGCCAATTTAGTGGATAGGGAAGATTGGGAAGCCGTGATGGAGGGAATTTGGGCAGGACACCTACTCTTTACGAGAAGTACGAAAGGATCTGTATTGACCACAGAGAGTGAGGACCTTGGTTTAATGTCCCATCTGAAAGACGGCGCTCACTGACAGTATAGTGAACCATTTACTTTACTGGCGCATTAGGACTCGGCTTGCAGTGTCAATACCACTTGCAACAGCCACCTAGTTTTCCTATGTGTTCTCTCATCCAGGTACTGACCAGGTTCAGCCCTGCTTAGCTTCAGTGAGTAACCTGTCTTGGGCTGCAGGGTGATAATATAAAATATAGTTTGACAAATCCCAATCACAAAAGACACATTGAGAGCCACATTGACATAAGACACACAAAGAGACACATTCACACACAAAGAGACACATTGACATAATACATTACCAAACTTTGCTGATACCATGATTTACACCATGTCTTAATTACACACGACATGGCACCACGACACATGATAAAAGGTATGTTAAAATGGATTTTTGTCCTAACCATCTGCAACGACGCCACGCAAAGTTAATATTTTAGAAATGCTTTTTATTTCCACTAGGGCTGCACAATATATAATTTCAGCATCGATATCGCAACCGCAGTAGTCACATCGCAAAGATATGCAATGTCCAGTCTGAATTATAGTTGACCAGGAGCTACAGAATTATATTTAATCACTGCATTTATATGGACTTTATATGATTCATGCAAACCATGCAAAAAACATTTATTTCTTAGAATTTATGTCTTGTTTCTAGTCCAAATGTCTAGATTACATAGCGAATATAAGATGATTTCACTTACCCCGCTGGCACAAAATTTCCTTAAAACAAGCAAAATCTTAAAATTTTTACTGATTTCTTCTGATGGTGAAAACAAAACAATATTTTTACTTGGTCTAAGATTATATGACTAGAAACCAGACAAAACAAAGTAAGAAACGCATTATTTTTTGCATTGTGATTATTCAATTTCTGTATCCAAATACTGTCAGACTCCCCAGAAAACCATCAAATAGAGCTATTCAACCCATCTTCTGAAATTGTTTTCATACCACAATATTTATCGCAGAAGAATAAAACATCTAAACATGCAGCCCCAATATCCACAGAACAACAATGTATACTACTATGACAGATCACCTCAGGTACAGATTATGTGATTTATTCAGTGTTAAATGCTATCGCTGCGAGTTTAAATACCATTTTATATGACATTTATTACACACAGTTCCAGATAGTTCACCTCAGAGCTTGAAAATAAAGTAACTAACTGCAGACGGTTTGAAAATGAAAGTCTGAACTGAGATTCAATGCAAACCAACAACATCAGTCACTCCGTAGTCTATTTATAATGATAATGGTTTAATATGTATTAAATAAATTAAAAGCCTTTACCGTTTTGTTGGGAGTGCAGTAGCTGTTATGTAAATGTTTCTGTCATGTTGATATGATCTTTTAAACCATTTATGTATTGTTCATTTTCTTACATATTCTGAAGTCATACTTTTTATTTATATATATTTATTTTTAATAGATGAAAATGTGGTCTCCTCTGTATGCAAGAAGAAGCGTGTTCGTTTTGGGGCTCCACTATCTCCAGAGTTCTTTGACAAAGCTCTCCCTCCCAGTACACCACTGCAGAAAGGAGGCACCCCGAGGTGTCCTCCATCATCTACTGGTCCTAAACGCTCTCTGCTGAAGACACCTCAAAGATGTGAGCCCTCTCTTCCCCAACCTGACTTCAACAGCCCGCAAAGCAATGGAGCCTCTCCTGTCTTGGTTATTGACAGACGCAGCACCGGCCTTCTGTACAGCGATGAAGTATTTGAAGAGATTGAAAAGGTTTGACACTCACCAGCTTCTCCAAACTAACTATTCTGTTGAATTGTATATCTTGCTCAGGGTGTTTGTGTTCCTTAAAAAGTCTAAAATCCCATAGTATAAAAGTAAGCCCTTAATTAGTCTTAATGTCTTAAATTCGTGTTTCAGAGCTCTTAAAATGCAATCCCCAAAAAGGAAGATTTGGTTTCTTTTTTGAAGTCTGCATAAATCTCTTCGTCTATCACCACACAGAACAACATGGGTGGAACCAAATTCCATTTATAGTCTTTGGCGTAACCTAATAAAATACACGTTCACAGGATTCTGGTTACTTAATTAACGTTTGCTGGAATTTTGCATATATAAAAACAGAGTTTGTGGGGATTTCGCTCTATTATAGATTGTAACAGCTGCATCAACCCGTAAATTAACAAATGAAGAACTAGAGATGCATCAGTTGACCAGCCAAGGAATGGAATCCACCAATATTTCTCATTTATTTATTTTATTTTTATTTTTTTCTCGCATAACAAGCTTGACCGATTACCAGCGCGCAGAGACACCCACAGACACTCACAGCCACATATAATGTGTCATTGGTGCTAAACTTTTTCCACAATGTAATAGTGGCACTATGTTATTATTAATATGATCAGTTAAACAGCTTAATGTCACCTTAAGCCATATTAAAAGTTGTTGTTTTGTCTTTCAAGCTATATTTAAAATGTTTGCTACATGATTAAAAAAAGTCTGGTTGACATTAGTCTTAATTGTGTAAGTTGAGAAAATATCATGTCGAAGTTTTCAGGTAATGCTTTAGCAAAACAAGTATCTATACAGGGTGTCCGCTGGGTCTTAAAATCTTAATGTCTTAAATTTCAAAAACTACGTTTTAGGCCTTAAAAAGTCTTGCATTCAACACAATACTTTAGTGAATGTCTTAAATTCTTTTAAACCAGTCTTAATTAAGCTTTTTGTTCAAGAAAAGCTACTCAGTCAGGCCAACATCAGTGTTGAAAGATATAGCTGACTTTTCCCAGCCCAGAAGTAGTCTAAAACATACAAAAGATGCCCAAAATATTGAATAAATATTAAATTTAATTTTAATTTATTTAAATTCTAAATGAACTATGATTCCTCATGATAAAACCAGGACTTCAGAAAAAAAGAATTACATTCTTAATGGCCTTCAAAAGTCTTAAATTTGACTTGATAAAACCTGCAGAAATCCTGAATAAAACAGTAATAAAAAGCTATACATAAATGTACATTTAATAATGGGCATAAGTTATTGCAAATATGTTTTGTTAGTGTTGTTAATGCAGTCTAGGGGGAACTTTTTATTATGTATTATTTTTTGTTATTGTTGTTATTTTAATACTAATAATAATGTTTTGAGTTTTTTCACACTTTGTGTATATGTGTAAAGCATGTGTAATGTTTTTTAGCATTTTTTTTTTTTTAGCAATTCTGTGCTATAATGTGCTATTAAAAAGTCTTAAATATAACTCTTATAAACCTGTAGATGCCATGCTTGCTGTATTTCACTTTAGTTCACCACCACCTTTATTTTAAAACACTTCTTTTTTTTATTTGATGGTGATTTTTCTGCCTTTTTCCCTTTGTCTGTGTCTCTTTTTAGATCAGTTTTCCCATTATGGAGGAAGAGTCTCCCTCAAACCAGCTTCCAGGAAAATGGAAAGGTGAGATGTGAAACGATTTTGAGCAGAAGAAAGTTTTGGAGAAAGTTTCTCTTCTGTTTGAGTTCTAATCATTTATCTAAAACTGTAGATGCACTCTTTGCTGAGGACACATGGAAGCCCCAGGCTGAAGAAACTGAAGTTATGAACGCTGCTTTTCAAGAGGAAGAGGATGTACCAGCAAATGTACAGACAGGGGATGAGCGGCCATGTACCACTGATGATCAGCCACTGGCTCTCTCTGGTGAGTTGAACTTATTTTCTTCCCTCTTTTTTTAATGATTTTTCAGCTTTAGTAAATAGATGCAGTTTTATTTTTGTTTTCAGCTTATGTAAGTCTAAGCTGCTTTTAATACATTTGCAACACACATTTTTAAGCAAAATATATAAAAAATAAAACTGAGCATGATGATCAGCCAGATGTCTACTGATTGGATACCCAAAACATTCTTATTATTGTTATTATTATTTTTACAAAAATCAGCCAACTCCAAATATACAGTCCCAAATCAAAAAAGGTTAGGACAGTGTGGAAAACGCAAATAAATCAAAGTAGAGAATTCTAAATTTACTTTCTTGTATTTCAGTGCAGACAATACAACAAACATTAAATAATGTGTTTCTCATGATTTTTTTTTTTTTCAAAAATAAAGACATACCAATTTTGTTTTTTCCATCACAAGAGAAGCAGTTTAGTTCTAGTAATCAGGTAAATTGGTTAAATAATGATGTGATTTAAAACACTGAATCAAGAATCATCATTCATGTATAAGCTATACATAGTTACATCCACAAATGCCAGTGAAAACTTACTGTGCCAAAAGGAAGCCCTATGTTAACAGTGTCTTTGTACTTACTTTTCTATTTACTTTGTACCAATGTGTACCTTTTTTTTCTGAGATTGTACTATATATTTGTTGCACATAAACACTGTCTAGTGTAAATATAATATTTAAAGCACTCTGTCTGTTAGGGTTAAAGTCCCCAAGAAATCAAAACTAACCATGATTTTATTAGCTCACATTGATAGTTTTGTGGTGAACAATTATTCTGTGCATGTCTTTAAGAAAAAAAAAAAAAGTTTGCCCTTGTAATCTTTAATTGAAATCTGAAAATACACATCCTATGTGTATTTGGATATAATAGATTTTTTATAATAGCTTTTTTGAGCACACTTTGTTGTTTATTTATTCGTTTGCTGAAAATCAGAAATCAATTTAGAAATAGATTTTAAACAAATCTTTGTGCTTAATAAAATTAATTATATAGACTAATGTCTGTTCGTACAACACATTTCCTTATCCACGAAAGAGAGTAAATTGATTAAATTTGTAAAGTGAAAGTAAAGGCTGATTGGAGGAGGCTCATTCTTTATCCTTTCCCTGCAGATGCTGTTTAACTGTTTTCTCGCTAGTGAAGCATTCAGTTTTTACACTTACAAAGTCCGCCATGTAAATTAAAAACGCAAATGACTATTTAAGGGAATGGGAGATGAGTCTCTTATTGGTTTATTTTCACAACACACCCATAACTCATTAAGAAAATAAGCACAACCCTGTCCGACTATGCGCTGTGCTGAGTGTATTTTTCCTTCCTTAAAATAGCAAAAGTGTATTCGGACACACCCTTAATGCTTTTGCGCCCTGCGCTTCAGACTTTGTGCCTAGATTGTCAAAATAGAGCTCTTGGTCTTGTTGTGTTCAAGTAAATCTATATTATGTTAAAAAAAAATGCAATTTGTTCACAATTATAAATGTCTGATTCTGAAGATAATTTAAAATGTGATTGTTGAACTAATTTTATTACTTAGCTGTATGACTCTTAAATATTAATTAAAGGTGTATGGAAATAGAAGATCATGTCAGTTTGTTTAGCTATTCAATATATAATTGCTTTAGCTTGTAATGTATGACTCATGTTTCTTATTTAGCAGTAGAGGCTGCAATCTCAGAAAAGACACTTTCATCCAACTCCAGCACTGAAGCAACTCGCTCTCGCGGTAGAAAAAGAAAGGTGAGCTCTCATATCTGTACATCACTACTTTCAAACTCTTCCTTTTGATGGATTCAGTTATTACTGTTTTATACAATCCTACACAGACACGCGCGCACACACACATACAGGGAGATAGATATATAGATGGATGGATGGATGGATGGATGGATGGATATTTTAAGAGAATTTACCATTAGAAGATCATTAAAGTGCTAGCTAATCCGAAAATTTTAATTCTGTAATCATTTACTCTCCATTGTTCTAAACAATTGAGATTTTTATTTTGATGAAAACAAAAGAAGATAAAATGATGATAACCTGTACCATTAACTGTAGGTTGTGTGCAATCACATGGTTCTGGTGACACACAAAATTGATTTACACCATATTTTAAAGGAGATATAGATAAGAAAATAACCACATATGTTGTGCATGATTCTTATATCATGAAGAGGGCTGAGTTTTCTTCTGAACTAAAATATATTTGCCTGTCATCGAGTTGGTAGATACTGTAAAAGCTGTCACATGAAAAAATACTATAGAAAATACTATAGTGTTTGAAAGCATATACTATAGATAATTACTTGAATTAAACTGTCGTAGTTATTATATTGTTGCTGTGGTACAACAACTGTAGTAATAAACAAATTATTTCGCAGGCTTCAGTTTTCTATGCTATAATGCTACACTAATGTGAGGCACAACAGTTTACACTAACATTACAGTATTTATTATTCATAAATTTATACATTCATTAACAAAGAGTTGTACAGATTAATCACTGTGCTATGTGGTTCAAAAACATGTTTATTATAAATTACTTGTTTTTTTTTACATGCGGATATCTTCCAGACATCACGAAATAACAGATAAAAACATTCAAGTGTGGATGCATAGTCTACATTATTATTTTATTATTTTTGTAATAACATTTCTTTTTTGTTCGGTCGATGAACTTAATATCAACAAACATTCACCGCTGCTGCACATCTCGATGTTAAGGTTGTTTATTCTTCCGAAACGACAATAAAGACTTTGATTGTTGCGAAACGAGATAGAGCAGCGATTGCATGACAGGGTACGTTAAATTCTCCTGAATTTTGTATAAGTGTGGTGGTGTATGTATGATTTTTTTATATAACACATTAACATATAATTCACGTAGCTAGACCTGTATATATTCTTTATTAGTGCTGTCAAATGAATTATCGCGTTCAAAAAATGTTTGTACACATAAATGTATTGAATAAAGGTTTATTTATTATATGTCAGACAGATTTTTTCAACTCTTTATGAGCAAAAACTATTGAAAGTCTATAAAAGCTGTTCAGCATTTTTTTTGGCTGATTTAAACAATTACAAACAACACAAAACAAACATTTTGATGTTCTGATAGTGATTTCTATGTTGAAGAATCTGCCCTCCATCTGAATTTTGAGCTTCATCGATGACAACATGTGAAAACCTATAGTTTTTTTTTTTTTTTTTTTTTTATGAGAGTCAATGGGAGTCTATCTTTTTGTGTGTGTTCAAAACCATAAACTTACTCTTAAAGGATTGGAAACACTTAAGGGAGAGTAAATAGTGAGTTTCCCAAGTTCATTTATGAGGGAAATATTCTTTAAGCCATGTATTTTTTATTTTCTTTTTTTTATCTGGCATTCAAACAATTTGTTGTTACATTGTTATTTCAAATAGTATCATCAAAATATTTTACCTTTATTTGACCAAACTTCCTTTTTAACATCCTAAAACTGTATCCATGTGTGAAATTGTAAGATTTTCAGTGTGCCTTCAAGGCTTTGAATTTAAAAGCATCGAAAGGATATTATTTCAGTCATCCAGCTCAATTCTGTTCTTCTGTTTCAGCAACCAGCCGAGAGTGAGCCTGAGAAAAGGAGAAGCTCACGTACAGCAGCAGTTTCTGCTTCAGGAAAGATGAAGGTATGAAGCTTAAGAAGTGGATTTATACTTTTTAAGTCAAGCTGACGTGTGATGAGTCTTGGTGAACGGGAGCTTTTTAAGCTCTGATTATTAACGCTCGAATCAAACTGACACTGAGCCTGAAATAAAAACACTAATGTGGCTTGGACTTAGCATTTAATATAAAAATAGCATCAGGCATGATTTCAGATGTCTGGAGCGTTTTTGTGTTTGTGTTCATCACTACAGCTTTTTGACTTTCAGAAAACGACAGGAGCAAAGAGAAAATTTGGAAATAAAGAGGTGGATCGTTCTCTCTATGGGAAAAGAGACTATGCCTCAAAAAACCCTCTGCTCAGCCCCATATTTGAGACAGCGTCTACCAGTTTCAACCTCACACCAACACAAAACCAATCAGGAAAAATAACAGGTATGCTTGTCTTGAAGGCCCAGTGAATTTTTTTGATGTTAGTTTTAAGGATATCTATTTGCTGGTGTGCTCCATAACTGTGGCAAATTCAATTCAATTCAATTCAGCTTTATTTGTATAGCGCTTTTACAATGGTGATTGTGTCAAAGCAGCTTCACATAAATGGTCATAGTAACTGGAACAGGGTGGTTCAGGTTTTAGTGTTTAAGTTCAGTTCAGTTCAGTTTAGCTCAGCTCAGTGATTTAATCATTACTGAGAGTTCAAACACTGAAGAGCAAATTCATCGATGCGTAGCTCTACCAGTCCTGAACCATGCGAGGCAGTGGCGACAGCGGAGAGGGAAAAAAAAACTTCACCTGATGGAAGTGAAGAAAAAAAACCTTGAGAGAACCAGACTCAGTTGGGCACAACCATTTTAATTTCTCCGCTGGCCAAAAGTCTTGTGCAGAGCTTCAGTCAAATCTGTGGTTATAAAATATAAAACTGATATAAACATCCAGAGCTTAGATTGTCACTGAGTGGATCAAAGATTATTTATTTATTTTTTAAGTCACCCTATGGCTGGGCAAAAAAAAACAGTATCGGTAATTATTAACAGTACACCACTGTCAATAATAATTTGTAAACAAAAGTTCGGTATGAAGGCTATAGTTTTATTAAAATGTGTCTGCTGAGCGCACACCTTGGAAGCAATGGCAATAAGTTTAGCGTGTAAGTTTGTCATTTCCAATGAAGGCACATGACTTCCACAGCGTGCACATGCCCATGTGACGCACACACATTTTCCAGGTACACCTAGTTAAAAAACATCTAAACTTTTCGAATGCCTTGAGCATACCGCGGTTCATGTAAGTAGAACGAATCAATCAGCTTCATATTTTGTTTGGAATATTCACATTTCAGTAATAACGGTAGACTAATTACCTCAGACAAACACACTGCATCCAAACACTACAGTGCTTTTTACTTTTCTCCATAAACTTGTATTGAAACTGCAGCAGTGGGTTGTCTGTTTGCCATCTTCTGAGACAATGGTTTGCCTAGTAGAAAGAAGTCAGGGGAGCACAAGTGCAAAGCGTATTGAATATGAAAGAAGCCACATGCTTGCACTTTTCAAGTCTAAGTTTTGGGTTGCGCCATTTTTACTGTCAAAATAAAAACACATGTGAAAATGAGTGCCATATAGTAGCAGTTAAGAGATTTTTATTAAAAAAGGATGTCGCCAGAGTGGCTTTTTGGTTTCTTTTCTTGTGCACATTAGCCACTAGCGCCCCATCTGAAAGATTTTTTAGCATAGTGGGTAATATAGTCATCCAACTTCACAATTTTTAATGTTGCAGTATGTGTTTAAATAATCATGGCTGGTTCCTTTACTTGAAAGCTCAGATTTGATTTTTATAATTTCTTTTGTTTACAGAGTTTGAGGTTTACTGTATCATTATTATTTACACCATACAGATGTTAATCTACCTTTACCATTGCACACACTTTGTAACATTTATTTATCAAGTTTAAGAGTCTCTTTAACACTTAGGGTTTTTTGTTATTCATTTTATAAATCATTTATTATTAAGAGATCAGATATTTTGTTTAAATATTTTGCCAGATACATTGTTTAAAATATTCAAAAAATTATGGATACCAAATGACATAAAACAAATCTTTGTTAAGAAATTTGCAATATCGCCCACCTCATACTTCAGTTTCTCATCCAATCTTGACCAATTAAATACTAGATCTGACATGCCCTGTCCCCTTCAAGACTCTTCTCTTTTGCTTTTCATTTTTTTAGCTTGAGCTTAATCAGTCTCACTGGCAGAGTAGTGATAAAAACTAAACACTATTGGCAGTGGGAGGAGCTGTCCCACCCTATCTTTCAGTTGAGAGTACACAAAACATTGAATAAAAGATGCACTTCATGGCACCTTTACATGAATAATTTATGTTCTTGATTTGATCTTAAAGAATTGGCCTGATGAAGATTGTATTTTCATTTTACAATCCAGTGCAAAAGAATGCAGCTATTATAGCAAACAGCTGGATTATTTTAGTGGTCTTAAACCACCGGATGTGAAAGTTTTCTTCTCTTTGCACAGATGGAGACCAAAATGGGATTCAGAAACCCAGTGTTCCCCAAAGTAAGACACTTCGTCCCGTGGTAGGTCTGGGAACTGCCAGTACATGGACCAATGAGTCACCAAGCTCCATTATGACAGACTCGGATATAAATGTGACTTGTTTGGAACACCAGGATCTTGCAGAAAGACAAAACTCTAGGTCAAAAACCTCTAAAACTAAACGAGACTCAGGGAGACCAGTCCGCCAGCGTCGTAGCTCAGGTGCAGCCAAGATAAAAAAGCTTGACAATCCAACCATTGACTCAACTACTGAATCAGATGCTGAAACTGTGGAGCAAGACACAGAGAGCCAAAAGTCCGCTGAATCAGCAGGTATGAGCTCAATGTACCATCATGAGTGCTCTGAGAAGAGGGAAACTGAGGAATTAATGAGCTGTGAGGAAGCAATTGAAGACTCTGTGAGCACTGAGAGGCTAGAACAGAAAACACCCAGCAATAAAAGACCTGGACAGGGTCAAAAGGTGCAGAAAAGTCCTCATGTAATGATCGATGTTGTAAAAGTAGACGAGATGGCTCTATCTGAGGGCATTGCATTAGAGAGCAACACTGGACCCGCAGAGTCTGATTTGGCACCCTGGCAGCAGGCCGACTTCAACATCGACGACATCCTTAAGCCTGTGGGGAAGAGTCGAGGTTCTGTGCGGCGCAGCTTGAGAAACCGAAGGAGCATGGACCTGCAGGCTGTGGGTCTGGCCTGGGTGGATCACACCTCACCAGAGCTGGTTAAAGCAAGTCGAAGGAGGACACGCGGAAGACTCAGTGGTGTTTCTGAACCATTCATCCCTCAACCCTCTGAAGAACTAACAACAAACTTGGGAGAGTAACTGGCCTCCATCCCCTGGTGTCAGTTTAAAGGAACACTTGATGGTTTTCTAGAAATAGGCTCATTTTACTAGTAGCCTAGAGTTAAGCAGTTGAGTATTACCATTTTTTAATCAATTTAGCTAATCTTTGGGTCTGGTTGTACCACTTTTAACCTAGATTAGCATAAATCATTGAATTGGATTAGACCATTTTCTTTAAAAAAGATTTTGATTATTGTCCTATTTATTAGCCTGACTATTCATGCACTAAGACCACAGTGTAACTATGGAGTTTTATTGTACTACAAAGTTTCTTGATTATTTTGCTGGAATGAGAGCATAGTTACTAGTCATGTTGACCTAGAAAAAAGTTCTTGGCTTTGGTACATAACATATCTACATAATAGTCAAGTTTTAAATAGGAGATTTGTTTTGCTAAATGTTTAATCCGATTCAATGATCTATGCTAAACTAAATGAAAAGTGCTCCTGCCAGATTGGATTTAAAAATGGTACAAATCAACTGTTTAACTCTAGGGAACTAAAATGAGCCACCAAAAAAAAAGTGCAGCTTTCTTTTAATGATCATATTATAAATGAACTTTTAATGCATCTTATTTTGCATATGAATTGTTTTAACTTTATATTGGTTCTTTACTGTTTTTAGTGTTTACAGATCACTCCTGACTCTTAAGAAGATTGCATAATTGTTAGATTACTTCTGCTCATTAAATCTTCTCTTGGATGAATGCTGCTGTTTGAAGGTGATTTCCCTGTGGTAATTATTTAGTTTTACATAAACACCAATCTGTTTGCTTGGGTTTTTTTTTTTTTTTTTTTTTGCTATAAATGTACCTGCTTGACACATTTTAGTTATACAATAATATGTTTTAGGGCTGCACGATATTGGAAAAAATCTGACATTGCGATATTAAATTTTTCTGCAATTTATATATTGCAATATGAATACAGTTTCAACATATATGACTGGAATAGCTCTATTTGGAAAGACATCATTCATTTAGATTGACTGGGGTGATTTTTTAAGGGTGTAAATCATGTAAAAATATATATATATAATTACAATAGAGCAATGAAAAAGTTAAATAAACAGTGCTTTATGATTTTCTGCAAAGTCAAACAGTATTCAGGTACAGAAATTGTATAGCATGCATTGTATTGATTCAGTAAAAGTACTCTTCATTAAACTTACAAATACAAAAAAAACTCTGGCCAAATGCTTTAAACAGTCTTGAAATACTTTTAAAACGCATGCAAATAATAACGTTTCACTCTGTTATGCGTATACTTTGCTACAATTCCACAAATGTCATGTATTCTCAATCCCTACTCAACGTTGCATATTCTCCAATGTGACTATTGTGGATACACACATTACAAATCGATGCTGAAACTATTGTTAACTATTGTGCAGCCCTGCCATGTTTGCATCCACATGTTCAGGCAAGTTTTATGAGGCTTGCTTTAAATATTGCATGAATGAATGTTAGGAAAACATATCTGGATCATTTCAACACAAAAACATGGGAAAAACATTACTTTTTTGTTACCTGTTGTATTGATTCAGTGTCATTTAGTTCTCTTTATTATTTTTTATTCCTATTTCTAACAAAACTTTCCCTGTTATGTTCTGAAAGGGATAGTTCACACAAAACTGGGAATTGTGACCCTTATGTGCTGTTGGGGATTCTTTCATACACTCTGGGGTGATTTTGAGTCGTAATTTAACCAAAACTTTTTCTGTGTTTCAGATAGCAGAATGATTGTTAGGGTGCACTCATTATACTATCCGAACTGTGCCCAGGTGCATTTCTCGGTTCGTTTGAGAAGTGTGAGTGCTCTGATTCGGGCTCAGGCACGGTTCTGTTGGCCGGCCCTGGCCCATTTGGAAGAGGTGTGCCAGAGCACAGTTCACTTGGGCTTTGGTGCGGTATGCTGGTAGTGTGAGTTCAAAGCGCACCTGAGCCCGAAACTAAAGACGAGACTTGACTTTTTTAGGGACTGTTTTGTATGGATTTATTAATCATTCTGACTGTTCAATGAACCGGTACTGTTTTAGTTTATTAGGGATGCAAACACCTCGCTCCACGACAGCTGAACCTTCAGCAAACGTGTACATGCAGCACAAGGACTTTTATGATTATTTACTTCACTGTGCTGAGCAAGAGCGCTTCTCAACTGAACAGCGCATCATCGATGACATAAGCATGCTTAGGCTCGGATGCAGTGTGAGTGCAGGCCATCAGGAAGATGAGAGGGGGGGACAAGCATGCTTTGGCATGGTTCAAGTTAACTCTTATAGTGTGAGTACGCTCTCTCTTAGTGACATCTTATTTTGACACGTTTTCAGAAAATGCTACACTCTGGGCGAATTTACTACTACCCTTTTGTTATGTTCAGGCTGAAAACATCTACTGATTTAAACTGCTGTAAAAATGCATCAGATAAATATGGTTTTCAATTTTTTTCTGCATAAATCTGTTAATCAACCTCAGTTCTGATCAAAACTACTAAAGTGCTTGGAAAATGACATGACTTTAACTCTTTAATTGCCAATTTCACGAATTATGTCACTGCTTTTCTTTTAAAAAGCACACAAAATGACATTTTCAATATAAAGATAATTGATAAAAAAAGTTTTCCCTGTTGGGAAGAGGCCAAATGTGTAATTTTTACTATTGTTCATCCGTTGCACCATTCTTTTTTTTTACCTGGAATATAACAGCAAATTTAAAAGTGTGAGAGTGACCTTTACGCACATATCTTGATGTGTCTGAGAACATCAAAATATGCAATCTCAGAACTACATGGAGTAAACAAAAACAAAGACTGCATTTATGCACCATTAAATGTGGTTATAATTGAAGTTAATGGGGCAAAAACAGCCACCAACAGTAAATTAGGGAGAAAAAATGAAAATCTAACAATGCAACAAAGCCAATGTCGTTATTAACCGTTCAAGACTGTGATAAAAGGGGAAAAAATCCAGTCCACAACTACTTTTTATCCTGGAAAATGTCATTTTGAGTGTTTTTTTCTTTTTTTTTTCACCAAATCAGTGGCCTAATTTGTGAATTTGGCAATTAGAGTTTAAATTCAGAATTTTTCAAGCAGTTTTGATTAGGACTGAAGTTGATTAACAGTTTTGTGCAAACAAATTTGAAAAACATTTATCTGATGCATTTTTGCAGCAGTTTACATTACAACATAACAAAAGGGTAGTCAATTTGAACAGTACACAAGGGGTTAATTATTAAGTTACTTGACTTTCACCTGATTTTTTTTTAAACAATTTATTAATATTATTTTATTTATATATTTTTTTGAAAACCTGTAACCATCGACTTCCATAGTATTTGTTTTTCTACTCTGACACATTTTTCAAAATTTCTTCATTTTTTTTTGTGTTAATCAGAAAAAAGCTAACTAAGTTTTGGAACCATTTGAGAGTGAGTAAATAATGAGTACGTTTCATTTTTGGGTGAACTATCCCTTCAATAATACATTTATTCAGGATTTTTTGTGTCCAGACATGTTGACAGCATTCATGAAATTCGCATCACATACGTCAGTCAGTTATACTCAAAACTGTTTGTAATGGGAGCAGCATTTCAGCATGCTTTTGAAGCCTGATATACTTAGTTAAGTTTTAAACTGACACTCTTCACAGTTGTGCATTGCACCTGTAATAGCGGGTCATGCTGCGAAAGAGTTAGCTGTGTTTAAAGCTAATGGAACATTCAGAGAAATGTCTCGAGTGAACAGAGCACAATAGGACTTCACCAGAATTATTTACTACAATTAAATTTATTTACCATTTCAGTGTCTCAACACAACTGTCAATACTTCTAACCAAGCTGGAAATAATTACTCTAGCCATCTGCAGCAGATCATCATGATTCATCGCTGTTTGTTTTTAGCACACATGATGTTTTATGTGAATCAATCTTCGGCAGTGCTGCTGTAGTGTGTCCATGGGAGAAATAGCACTGCAACGGCGTTTAAATATTAATGTCCTGTAGACTGTCTCCAATTTCAGAGATCCAGAGGCATTATATGAACATGGACTTACACCTGTGCTTCATGTGATCGATGGCTCATCACAAATCGTTCCTTTCCCAGTGCAGCTTTAATATTTGCTATTATTTAGTTCGATGGGTTTAAAGTAATTCATACCAGGTTTAGCTAGATGGCTTTCTTTAGCTTTTTAAAAGAACACTGCCATCTAGTGGAGGTATTATGTTAGGCCTTCACATGCTCACAAAGGGCCTTCACACTTTCTGCACTCATTCTGCTGGACTGTTTTGAGAATGCATACTTGGATCATGAATGATTCTCTTTGGCCAATAGTTTGGGAATACAATTCCATGGCCCTTGATCTGCTACAATAAATCAGTGATAACCTAAAGGTCGGAAATGAAATGTGATGCTAAGGTCAGCACATTTGATTAGTTGTTTGTGCTGTGCATTTACATGAGATAGATAGATAGATAGATAGATAGATAGATAGATAGATAGATAGATAGATAGATAGATAGATAGATAGATAGATAGATAGATAGATAGATAGATAGATAGATAGACTGATTGATAAATAAATAAATGCATAGACCGACAGATGGATGGATGAACAGATAGATAGAATGAACGATGGACGGACAGATAGATAGAATGAATGAATGATAGATAGATAGAATGATAGATGGACTGATAGATAGAATGAAAGAACGATGGACAGATAGATAGATAGATAGATAGATAGATAGATAGATAGATAGATAGATAGAATGAAAACTATGGACAGATAGATAGATAGACAGACTGATTGATAAATAAATGCATAGACCGACAGATGGATGGATGGGACAGATAGATAGAATGAAAGAACGATGGACGGATAGATAGATAGAATGAATGAAATAATGATAAATAGAATGATAGACGGACTGATAGATAGAATGAAAGAACGATGGAGATAGATAGATAGATAGATAGATAGATAGATAGATAGATAGACAGATTGATAGATAAATGCATAGACCGACAGATGGATGGATGGACAGATAGATAGAATGAAAGAACGATGGACGGCCATAGATAGTTAGAATGAAAGAATGATAGACGGACTGATAGATAGAATGAAAGAACGATGGACAGATAGATAGACAGACAGATAGATTGATAGATAGATAGAATGAAATAACTATGGATAGATAGATAGATACGCCGGCTAAGTTGGCGGTCCATTCCGCTGTGGCGACTCCTGATTAGTAAAGGGACTAAACCGAAAAAAGAAAACGAATGAATGGATGAATGCCTTTAAATTGAATAGGGTGACTAAAGTCTACTGGTAGTGGATATTGGCGTTCCCTTGACATTAATTGCCCATCATGGTGGTGTTTGCGTGTGCACCAGTGTTGGGGTTAAAACGATTTTGCTAAGTTTTTTTTTTGGGCTGTGAATGAGGGAAACCCCTCTCCCCCATCCCGCAGGCCCAGAGAAGGCAGCTTAGCACCAGAACAATAGGGTCCTTTGACCAAATTGAGGCCCTTAAGACATGTGGCCTCTTGTCACCGTGGCAACACCCCCTGCCCCCCTCCACAGGACAACCTATGAGCTGACAGCTGGAGAGAGAGAGAGACGAACAAAAATGAGTCCGTCTCATTGAGCCTCCCAACTCTCTCCACTTTGTTCTGCTCCATTATTTTCTCGCCTACACTCGTGCTTAGCGTCGAGCGCCTGTCCCCGTCTTCCTTTTATTTGTTAATAATGCATCCATTTCAGATCC